CTGCGGAGAAGTTTGAATTCTTTTCAGAAGGCAGGGGATAACTACCAAGTGATAATAAAAATAATAACAGTGTCATTTTAGCAAGACCATTTTAGAGAGAGTGGGGGCTGCTGTATCAGAGACGGTAACACAGGAGGAAGAATGCCAGTGAGGAGGCTGCAGGTGCATCCAAGCCATGATGGGGAGCATATGACTCAGTAAGGCAGGGTCGGGGTGAAGAGGATAAGGGCGGGTTCTGTGTGCTGAGGAGACGGATGGGCAAGACCTGGAGGCCAGTGGATATGGGGAAAAACAAGAGGGAGGAAGTCAGCCACTCCCCAAATTTACAGTTGATATTCTCATTATGTTGCAAAATCAGACAAGCTTTTAAAACTCTTGTTGCCTTTTATGTAGTGTATCAAAGTTGCCCTCTTTGTTCTTTATATAGCTCTGAAACTCATTGCAGGTGATTATAATTCATATTGAAGAAACAATTGGCCTACATGTTTTGATATATTTTAGTTTTTGTGTATCTCATGGGAAAATGATTCTCTAAAGGCCAATTGTGTAGGCTAGGAAATCTTTTAGGTTTAATTATAAAACGTTAATCATTTTCCACAACATATCATTAAAACAGTGAACTACCCTTCTAAAATGTTGACTTTATGGTAGGTTTAGTAGAATTGTCCTGTGTTATAAGCAGACTCTAAAAAAAATTAGTTCATAATTCACTGGACAATTCTGTTGTAATGTACTGGTTTAGATTAGAGAGTAACTGTTAGGTATAAGCTATTAATGTTTTTGTCTATTAGTGTCTCAGCACATTTCCTTTTTCTAAAGGAATATACATCTTCTTTCAGGATCTAACTTCCTCGCTAAATTCTCCAACTACTTTTTTCCTTTCCTCCCCTCCTGCCTCTTCCCTTCCTTCCATTTATCCAACCCAGGCCCTCTTTCATGCAGGGAAAGTACTTCATCACTGAGCTGTATCCCCAGCTCACTCCAATTGCTTTTCACTGGACAATCATCAAACAGACTTGCTAATCTGTTTATCTTTGGATTTAGATACTGCTATAAAATGAAGTGGCTAAATGACTATGAATATGTATATTTTAAAATATTTATTCTTAAGTTTTAAGTGGACACAATATCTTTATTTTACATTTATATGGTGCTGAGAATCGAACCCAGTGCCTCGTGCATGCTAGATGAGCATTCTACCACTGAGCCACAACCCCAGCCCCATGAAAATATATTTGAGAAAATAAATTGAGGATTCATATTGTGAAGGTCTTATGTTCTTCATTCTAACTTTTATCCAATAACATGTCTCCAAGCAGTGGGAGATAGAATAAGGTGTTATGAGGCAGTGCTTTGCTCATTGAAACTGAGGCTGAAGACACTATGATGGTGATGCTAACTTTACCTATATAATTGAAACACATGGTGATTTCAGCTATATAATTTAGTGCCTGAATAAAGGTGAATTTTCTATTGGCAAACATATTAATCAGTGAAAACTACTGTCTCTCTTATTTTCCTTTTCATTTCACAGTCCATTAAAACTGAGTTTTAAAATCTGACAGATTCGATTATAAATACAATTATCACCATTAACTAGTTATCCTAACCTTATAGCTTGTCATTTATCATTGCTAGCTTCTAGTTTCTATAAATTGTCTATTTTCTATAAAAAGTTCATCGTTACTTTTTACAGATGTTATTGTGAAGAGTAAGAAAATGTATGTCAAAGTAATTAATGTAGTTTTTAGTAGTTCCAGATTCTAAAACAGTAGGTTTTTGTTGTGATGTTTCCTATGCTGATTTTGAAATGTTGTGGAAACAGTCTGACTATATAATACTTTTAGAATTTACGTGTTTCTACAAATTTGATGCAGATGAGACAGAGCACTGTGATTTTTATACGGGTCTGTTGTTTTCATAGGAGGAACACAAATTTTGTTTTTTTAGCTTATAAAAACAACATTTTCTTTGTGTTTAATATTCAAAATCAGAAAAGCTGTAAGGATCACTAAATTTATGATTAAATGATAGTGAATTAGCATTAAAGAAAATAAGACTAAAAGTGACTTGTTTCATAATTACATAATTCAAAGGTGATAGATATTCTACTGAGGTAAGAGAAAATAAGAATGACTTAGTGGTTTCCATTGATTAATATGTTTGCCAATAGAAAATTCACTTTTCTCCTGGCACAAAATTATATTGCTGAAGTTACCATGTGTTTCAGTTATATAGAAGAAGTTAGCATGTTGAATACTATCATAGTGTCTTCAGTTAGATTTAAAAAAAGAATAAAAATGTTTCCCTCTTTAAACAAGTAATATATTGTGATGGTATGGTGCTTCATTATAATACAGTGAAGGTTATTCTGAGGGTTAATGTAGTCTAGCTGCTGGCTTCCAGATATACTGGCTCATTGCAGAATAGAACCTCAGTAGAACATGTCACCTTCAGACTGCCTCTGCCAAATCTCGGCTGTCTCTTGGTGTCTTATGGGAAGCAGAGAGCGGTTTTCAGTATTTCTTTGCTAGATGTAAACTCTCTTGGCACATACAGTGTGATCTCTTTTGTCCTTGGATTTTTCCAAGTGGAACAGGTCTTCAAGACTTCCACTTATTTCAACTTTAGAGATGTTGGGATCCCAAGAGATTTCAGTTATGGATGAAGTTAAAGAGAAGAAAAATATTACACTTTTCAAATTTGCTTCTTGAGTAGGAGAACTAAAGATTTAATGTCAAGCTGTTGATTGCTGATACAAATTGGGCACTTCTTAAGTGAATTAAAAGTTGAAATTTTATTGTTATATTGATCTTCATACATAGAAAGACAGGCTAATTCATTTAAACATCTCTTTGGAGTCCTTTTTACAGATAAATTATAATTCTCTGAAGTAAGATCCATACTTGTTTTTCCTTTATCTGACAATAACTTTAACGGGAAGTAATTAATTATCCCCTAATTGTTTTCTGGTTGATAAATATAGGAACAGTGTCTGCACTCTGCAACTTCCCAGCTCTTCTTAGATGTTAGGCAGCCTCACAGTCTGGGGAGGATGGGATGAGAGTTCTGGTCAGCCTTGAGGTCACTTTGTTCAATTGTTGACATTTTTCTAAGGTTCTGGTCCCTCCCTTATAAAATGGGGCAGGTAACCCCCATCTCACAGGGATGTTTCATGTAAGGATGGTGGAGGATGGCCTGTGGCCACCCCTGTAAGGAAGTTTCCATGAAGACTTTGTAATAAAGGGTGCAATGGTACTAGCCAGCCTGTGTTCCCAGCCTGCAGCCACTTGGTGCCAAATTCCCTGTGCTTGGGGCACATCGGTTTCAGAGCAGGCTTGACTCCCTGGGTCTTGGGAATGTTCCAGTTGACTGCATGTTCTCTCTTGGGATCAGGGCAGCAGACTACAATGTTTTGTTAAGCTGAGCTAAAGGAGCAGATTCTCTCCAATATATTGTGCAGATTAGGTCTTTTCTGTAGAAGAACATCCTTTCATTTGAGCATGATTCAACTCCCTCTGTTATTTTAACAAGCCACCTGCTATAACAAACTCAGCAGTTACCCTTAGGAAGGAATTTGATGATTCTTCTTTGCACAAGCCTGTCTGCTTTTCCTTGATGGGCTTTTGGCATTTTGTGACCTATTGTACTTCAAGTTAGGCTCACAAAGTTCTGTATGTGACCTGTGGAGTACAAGTTCTCAGTTGTACTGGCTTTATATCCATGAATCCAAAATTACATAGATTCTTGTTAGCAGATGGAAAAGGAGGTGCTGATTTTACTACACATTAGGCCATAAAGAAGTAGATGCCTCTGGGCTGTGTTGTATGTATGAAAAAATGGGAGGGTAGGAGACGCCATTATCCACAATACATGCTTTTGAGTGGGAATACAAACAGGAGCAAAAGAGGGTTGGGAAGGAAGCCATGGTTGGGCATGTCTTTAAATTCTCTGCCAGGACATCTCACCTTTGCTGTGTTTTAGTGTCCTCCTATTTTGACTGTTCTTCAACAGAACCTCTCACATGAAGGACCCTATTGTCCCCTAGACATTAGTTCAGTCTGGAGGGGAATGAGCCACCCTTTCGGTCTCTGGAGCGGATGGAGTAATTGGAAGCCTCTGTGGGTAAAATCCACAAGGACCCTTTGTAATCACCTAGCATTTCATATTCTGAGTTCTTGGGGGTTTGCCACATGCTTTTGCCTGCTGTCTTAGAAACTTACATTTAAAATCTGGTCCTTGACATGGGTCCTTTTGTGAAACAACCATAGCTTATTATGATTGAAGGATGACATGATGTTTTTGAATTCACTCTTACAATGTTTTCTAAGGAACCATACTAAAATATTCTAATGTTCAAATTAGAATATTTGAAGCTCTCCTTAAAATGAAGCATATCTAATTTCAGGCTTAAGTTCTTAGGGATGTATAGAAATATATATATTACAAGATCTGGGAATTTTTTAAGATTATCCCCTTTCCCACAAGAAAATAAAACAAACCTATGCAGCCACAAATTTTCCCTAATTGCAGGCCTTCCCAAAGTAGCAGCAGTAATAGTGCCCCCCAAATATTATTTTTCATGTTTGATAAAATTTTTTAAGATGGCTTCCCTTTTGGCCTTCACATAAATTAGACATTACTACTTACTCTTCTTTGGAAATAAGATCCTCATTGGAATCATAATTAAGTTGATTTTTGAACATAGATTGCAAAAATGGCGGCAGTAATAAATAGACATTTATGTGAACAAGAGAAGTAGACTTTCCCTTAGGAGTGATTACATCAGCTTATAATACCTCGTTTGTATGTACAGTTACTAGTTTGTACGTGTCATGAGTTGTTTTTGCAGGAATAGGGTAGAATTTAGTATAAATACTTTTGAAATATGGAGAAGTTTAATTTTCCAGGGCTGTTTTATTAGCAATTTTTAGATCATGAAGTGATTTTATCTAAGATTAGTTCTAATATGCCATGTTGTTTTACTCTTTATTTTCTAGGGAATACCTTGGTAAGCAGCTTCAATCTGAGCAGCCTCAGACTGCTGCTGCTCGAAGCTGAACTGGCCTCTTCCACTTCCCCTTACCCGTGAAGACTACTTGGAGTGGGAGCCTCAGTATTTAGGGTCAAGAATATAGTTTTTAATTTTATTTGTGATTTTCTTCTGTTGTGTAGCTTCTCCCAGTACTGATTTCTGAAAAATGTGTTTGCTTGTTCAATTGTATAACAGTGTTTTCTGTATCTAAGGAAAATATTTCTGTTACACATACTGCTTGCAATTTCTGTATTTATTGTTCTATGAAAATTAATATAGCTATTAAAGAATTCTCACTCCAAACGTCTCATTTTTCTTTCTTATTCCTTACTTGGACTTTAAACAAAAGTCACTTGTTTCTTTCAAACCAGATTGGGAGAATTGTTGCAAAGTAGGGAATGGCAAGTAAATGTTTTGAAATTGTCTTTGAATCATTTCTTATCAGTGGGTATCTACACAGACACAAACACTGTAGCTGTTAGAGTGAGCAATACATACTGTGTTGCTTAATGATGGGCGTGTTCTGAAGAACATTAGGCATTTTGGTTGTGTAAACATCACAGAGTGCACCTATACATACCTAGATGGTTTAGGTCAATCACTTGTACACTTAATGCAATCAAAGAGATGGGGTAAACACCAGGTGAATGAGCCTGCTGCTGGTGTAACTGCATGCTGTTTTACAGTAAACCTTTGCTGTTATACAATAAGCTTTAATAAACAAGTAAAAAGAATATTCTTTAAAATAGTGATAGAAAATATAGCATAATCAGTGCATAAACCAGTAACATAGTCTTTTTGGCGGGTAGGGGACCGTTGATTAAACCCAATGGTACTTTAACCACTGAGCTATATATCCCCAGCCTGTTTTATTTTTGAGACTGGGTCTTGCTAAACTGCTTAGGGTCTTGCTGAGTTGCTGAAGCTGGCCTTGAACTTGCAATCCTCCTGCCTCAGCCTCCCAAACCATTGGGATTGCAGGCATAGGCCACTGTGCCCAACTCATAGTTAGTTATTTATTATCACTATCAAATGTTATGTGCTGCATGTAACTGTACTTGGTCTACTTTTATATGACTGTGTGCATATTTACAGCAGCCTCACCACACAAATGTGTAACATGTTAGGCTCAGATGTCACAATGGCTATAATGCCACTGTGTGATAGGAATTTTCTAGTTTCATTTAATCTTATGGGGCTACATTGAATATGCAGTCCACCATTAGTCAAAACATTGTTACATGGGGAATGATTATATTTAGAGAACTTTGAAATCTTAAATTTTTAACATCCTGTGGTCTAAAAGATTTGTTCATGGAGTTCCATGAAAAAATTTACCTATAGGTTAGTTTATTCCTTTGATTTCTTATACTTCAGATTTTAAGTACCTCATTTAAAAAATGATTCTTTTTTTTTTATACATGACATCCTCATTTGTTTTGTTTTAGTAATTTTGGTTTAAATATTGCCAAAAGAAATCTTACTTCTCCCCCTCTCCTATATTTTGGGAACTACAGCCCTTTAGTAGTATATATGTGACAGGCATTTTCCCCTATCAACAACAACGACAGCAACAAAAACCATCAGCTCGTCTCTCTGACTCTCATTTTCATTTTTCCCCCCTTCTTATTCCTAGCAGTTTTCTGAATGTTGAGTTGTTAAGTTAATTTGCTAAGGCTAATAATCCATTTGTTGTTTCTCCTATAGAAAGATACTCATAGGTTCCATCTCCTGTTTAATATTCAAAGATTGTTTCACTTTCAACATAGAGATCTTGTAGAAAAGTTAAAAATATGTTTTTGTTAGTGGGTTCTTGTGACTTAGGGATTTTCCTTAAAAGGTACATTTTTGCCAGAATGTCAGTGATTTGGTCAGACCAATATATATTTATATTTTTTTGACAACAAGTTTAAAATTTTTAAAATTGCTCAGTCCTAGATATTTTTACTTTCAGAAACCTGGAAAATACTAAATAGAGCTTTTCTCTGTGGTAATTACAGGTTCTACATTCAGCAGATCAGTTTTCCCGTTAATGGTCTGTGAATTATTAAATTTTTTAAACACTCAACGTTGGAAAGTTCTGATCATAGGTTCTGATTTTGGTTTCATTATGCAAAAACCTGTACTTCTAAAGTAGAAATCAGTGACAGTCATTCTGGTGGGAATTGTTAGTGCTATAATTTCCACGAAGTGCTTTTGTACATGGGAAGCCCTACTCCCATGTCATCATATTTTAATTATTATCCTATATATTAAAATTAACTATCTCTAGGCACCTTTTTTCTGTTCAACCTGTTCACTTTCATTTTTTTGAGAATTTTAATATTTTTTTATTTTATTTTTTAGTTATCGGCGGACACAACATCTTTGTATGTGGTACTGAGGATCGAACCTGGGCCGCATGCATGTCAGGCGAGTGCACTACCGCTTGAGCCACATCCCCAGCCCCCATTTTTTTCTTAATGCTTTTGATTAATATTCAGTGACTAAACCCTCGAAGTTTACATATTCAGTTGAATGGCAGATACATAACAGCAGAATAATAAATGTGACCAGGCAAATCTAAGTAGTAAATGCATGTAAACCTACTCAGGTGTATACGTGGTAGGACAAATGCTATTAATAAGCATTTAAAAGTCAGCCTAAACAAAGCCCAATAGTTACAAAGTGTGTTATTACATGTGTATCAACAAAATTTACATAAAACCATTAATATTATAGGATTGAATTATTTCTTCATTACCCCATGTTTATGTAACCAAACACAGTGGGTTTTCCCATTGGTAAGTGCAAAGCCAATAAGCACAACCAAGAGAGAAAAGTGAAGGAAGGTTGATAAGTTATAGCAAGCAAGAAGAGCATGGGGATGACTTCCAAAGCAGTGTCTCTCTGAACAAAGGAACAAGGGAATTTTGTTAGGAAGATAATGCATATTCATAGTGGGGAGACTCACCCTTGCATATAGAGGTGGGCACATTCCTGCAAATACACAGTTCTAGATCATGCTTTGTACATTTTTATGTTTAAAAATAGTAGAGGGTCCAATGCCTAAATTCTCCCCTGAAGAATCTGGCATTAGAATGATGATGAGCAAAATTTAGGTCACCTAGAGCTAGGGTTGGGTGACTTTGTTTTCTTCTCTGGAGGGCCTTATCAGAAATGAACAAAAATCAACTCGAGCTGGAGTGCAATGGTGCATGCCTGTAATCCCAGTGTCTCGGGAGGCTGAGGTAGGAGAATTGTTCAGAGTTCAAAGCCAGCTCAGCCAAAAAAAAAAAAAAAAAAAGGCCAGGTGCTAAGCAACTCAGACTTTGTCTCTAAAGAAAATACAGAGTAGGGCTGGGGATGTGGCTCAGTGGTTGAGTGCCCCTGAATTCAATCCCTGGTACCTGCCCCAGGGGAAAAAAATAAGAAAGAGGAACTTGAAGGGATGTGTATCATCTGAGACACAAGGACAGGTGCTTAACTATAAGTTCTTGTTTGGGAGCTAACACTTTACATTTTCCCTAGTGTTATAAGTACCCAACCAGGAAGGCCAGATCCTAGCATTCCAGGCTTGCTGAGGTGACTAGTTTTTTTTTAACGTGTATAATTCAGTTTTTTAAACACATTCATAATGTTGTGAAAACATCATTGCCATCCATCGCCATCACTTTTCACCTTATAAAATGGAAACTGTATCCATTAAACATTAATTCCTTCTCCCCACATCCCACCTACCCAGTTCATAGAAAACACTGTTCTACTTTCTATCTGTATAATTTTGCGCTACTTTAAGTATCTTACGTAAGTGAAACCATTCAGTATTTGTCTTTTTGTGACTGGATTAATTGTAGCTAGAAAAAAATCTTCAAGGTTCATTCTTTTTGTAGCATGTTGAAGAGTTGCCTTCCTTTTCAAGGCTGAAAAATATCCCATCGTATGTATCCAACTTTATACATTTGACTAGCTTATAGCTCTTGAGTTCCTGTCACAGAGCTGTGGGGAATGCTTTGTAGGTGGATATGTGAGTTAAGTAATACGTCTTGAAAACCAGGAGGCTCCAGGACTCCATGTGGTGATCCAGCCACTGACAATCTGTGCTGCTTTTTGTGATCAGACTTTCAGTTGAGTTTTTAAAATCCATGCTCTATAGCTGAATCCTAATCAATCACTTAAAATTCCCCTCTTTTGCAACCCAAACCCAAAAAGTTTCCTTGTTTTACAATCCCATGGAGAAAAGGGCTTTCTAGGTTCTTGGACATCACTCAGCTCCATGATATTCAGCCCCTTAGTTAAGTGTTGTATGCCCTCCTTCGTTTCTGTCCCCTTTCTCTCTTAAAATCCCATAACCATCGGTCCTTTCTCAATTTGTCAGAAATAATTTCACGGCCCCCTCCCCCTGC